TCTCATAGATGTAAAAGCAAATTCCTCACTTTCTGTTTCCCCAATGTTCTGCCCTTTCAAGAATTCGTTTTAGTTTTTCCGTTTGTCACTGTACATTGATGCACTGCGAATTAAGGCCTTCTGTGTCGACTAAAACTAGAAAGCCATCGATATCTGGTAACAAGTCATCATGTATTATGGTGTCATAAAAGTTCGTATATCGCATCTCTTTAGAAGAAATTCTCTGATTCTTGTTGACAAAAATACCATACTCTTTCTGTCTCCCACTCACATCCACTTATAAGTTTTTCTCGAGTTCTTCTCAACATTCCACCAAAATTTGCATCCATGGCTGCTAAAGTTCTTCACTTTCTTTCTCTTTCTTTCTTTCTCATCCATTTCTCAACTGCTTTCACTCCCCAAGATAACTACCTTATCAACTGTGGATCAAGCATAAACACTCTTGTAGTCCAAAACAGATACTTCACCGGGGATTCATCAGAGGATGGCTCCTCGCTTCTATCTAAAGGTAAATCAATTTCTCTCACGAATCCAATTCCATCATCGAACTCGTCAGAACTGTACGGTACAGCAAGAGTTTTCACTTCTGATTCAAGCTATAAATTTAACATAAAGAACGTTGGATTCCACTTGGTACGTTTACATTTCTCTCCATTCAGTTATGGGGATTATGATCTCAAGAATGCAATTTTCGTAGTTTCAGCTAATGGAAATTCACTTTTAAGCAACTTTTCTGCTCAGTTTACTATGCTTAAAGAGTTTATCTTGATGGTTAATAGAAAAGAGCTTGAAATTCTGTTCACTCCTACTCGAGATTCCAGTTTTGCATATGTGAATGCAATTGAAGTGTTTTCAGCACCAAAAGATTTCATTATTGATGAGGGGATAACGTTGATTAGTCCTAATGGAATTCAAGACTTTAAGCAGAATATTTCGTCGAAAATTTTAGAAATTGTTCATAGGATTAATGTTGGAGGATCAAAACTTATCCCTTTTAATGATACTCTTTGGAGAAACTGGATTCCAGATGAAGATTTTCTTGTCTTGAAATCTGCAGCAAAAATTGCTAAGACTATTCATCCCCCTAATTACCAACCGGGAGGTGCCACAAGAGAAATTGCGCCTGACAATGTATACATGACTGCACAGCAGATGAATATAGATAATCTAACCTCGAATTTTATGTTCAATATAACATGGGATTTTCCTGTAAGAGCCGAGGATTCTCTGCATTTTGTCCGTTTGCATTTCTGTGACATCGTTAGCATTGCACTTCAGACGTTGTACTTCAATGTATATATAAACGGTATCATTGCGTATAAAGATCTTGATTTGTCTACGCTTGCATTCCATGAGCTTGCATCGCCCATTTTCGTTGATTTTGTTGTCCAAAGCTCGGTAAATACAAATGTTGTTCGGATTAGTGTTGGTCCTTCTGACCTCAGTAATAGTTTCCGGAAGAATGCCATTTTAAATGGGGTTGAGATTATGAAAATAGTGAATCCTTTGGGTTCAGAAAAGAAGGTTAAGACGAAAAACATTTGGATTTTGGTTGGTTCAGTCGGAGGTGGATCTTTTGTGCTAAGTTTGGCAATTCTTAGTACATTGCTTGTACTCAAATGCAGAAGGAGAAAACCCGAACCAACACGTGTTGAAAGCACAGGATGGACTCCTGTTCGTGTAAATGGAGGCAGCTCCCATGGCACGTTATTGGAAGGGGCGGTCATTTGTTATGGTATGAAGATTCCGTTTGCTGATATACAATTGGCTACAAATAATTTTGACGAGAGTCTGATAATTGGTTCAGGTGGTTTTGGCATAGTCTACAAAGGAATTTTCCAAGAGAACTTCCAAGTTGCTATCAAACGACGCGTGCCTGGTAACCAGCAGGGACTACCCGAATTCCAAACTGAAATAACAGTTTTGTCGAGAATTCGTCATCACCACCTTGTTTCACTTGCGGGATACTGCGAAGAGCAATCTGAAATGATACTTGTTTACGAGTACATGGAGAAAGGGCCTTTAAGGAGCCATTTGTACGGTTCTGGATTACCACCTTTATCTTGGAAACGAAGGCTAGAAATATGCATTGGTGCAGCTAGAGGTCTACACTACCTTCACACAGGTTCATTACAAGGGATTATCCACCGTGACATAAAATCGACTAACATTTTACTTGATGCCAATTACGTTGCTAAAGTTGCTGATTTTGGCCTGTCAAAATCTGGCCCGTGTCTTGATGAGACTCATGTAAGTACCGACGTAAAAGGTAGCTTTGGCTACCTTGATCCTGAGTACTTTCTTAGGCAACAGTTGACAGACAAATCTGATGTTTATTCATTCGGGATTGTGCTTTTCGAGGTTCTATGTGCACGACCTGCAGTTGATCCATTGCTTGACCGGGAGCAGGTGCATTTAGGTGAATGGGCTAGGGAATGGCAAAAGAAAGGTATGGTTGAGCAAATTGTAGACCCTCATATCAGAGGACAAATAAAACCAAGCTCATTGAAGAAATTTGGTGAAACGGCAGAGAAATGTTTAGCTGATTGTGGTGTTGATAGGCCTACTATGGGCGATGTCTTGTGGAATTTGGAACACGCGCTTCGACTTCAAGAAAGTGAAAATCAAATAGAATCTCAAGTAGAAACTGATGAAAATTTTGTTAATCGTGCATTGCCTAGATTTATTCCCACAATTCACTCGAGCAGTGCAGGGGTTGAGGGGGATATTGATGAAGTTTCTTCAGAAATAACAACGAGTGGAGTCTTCTCCCAGTTGATAACTAATGAAGGAAGATAGATATTCAAATACTTTTTTGAGCTTGCTTATTCAAAAAGACCTATGCATAACATATCTAGTACAGAAATTTAGGTGGTTTGTTTTAGCGTGCATAAACTGAGATACATAATCTCAGTAGTTGTGTTACTCAAAAGATTTTTGCTATGCTAGTTGTATGTATTCGATTGTGATGCCATTTTTGTCATTTACTTTCTAACAGTTTGGACAATGATGAATTGGGTCTTGCCCATTGCTGGAATGTTATTTACTATTGCTCGATAACACATTGAAACTGGCCCAAAAACACGGCCCACTTATCTTGCCACTTGTGTTGCTCTGGATCGTCGATTTCATAGTCGATCAATGGTTGATACTAATGAGTATATATACCAGTTGAATCGTCCTTTTGAGTCTGAACTTTTCATTGTTTTCTCTCCCTTAGTCTGTGAAGCTTCTGGGGCTTTGTGTTCTTCGTGATTCTCTCTTCTTGTTTCTGTGTAATACTTTGTGTATGATTAAAACCGGTTTTAATCCCCAATTTATGTGATTGCTGCCTTTGTGGTTTTTCGAGAGAGAGTATTTTCTGGTTCGATTGTGGCTGTGTTCCTTCGAGCCATTGAGAAGCTATAGTGTGCAATAGATTTGGGGTTTTGGTGTTTCTTGTGGCCATTTCATTGTACAAAAGGGTGCAATGAATGTTTCTGAGCCCTAAATGAAATAAGGATTCGTTTCTTGTTCGTACAATATCTTCTCTATTATTGTGTTCTTGTACTTCAGCTGTAATTTTGACCTTTCAAGTGCGGTTGTGAGTCTGAAAAGAGTCTTCGATCGTTTGATTGTCACTGAAAAATTAATTTTCAGTTGACATTTGTTTATCGATCTGAAATTCCTGGAACCCTAATTTTTCACCCTTTCTGTTTTGGCTACTAATTTCTTTTTCTATTTGTGTTCTTGTGAGAGAATTCGATTCTTGGTGAATTGTGTATGGAGCTTGGGCTTTGATCTGGCTGAGGGCTGGTCTTTTTTAAACTGCCCATGACTGGTTCTTGGTGAACCGTGTTTGGTGAAATGATTCCTATCTCTTTTACTTATTTTCTTGTCATTAGATCTTGATCATTGTTTGTTTTCCCTATTATCGTTTGATCCTTGGTGTTAGAATTAAGCCTTGACTTGGGGTCACGAACCTCACGGAATCCTGGTGAATTCTAACACCTGAAATTGTTAGAATTCTGGTTACTAAGTTGCTTAATATTCAGTGGCATAATTCTTTGTGAATTATTGTGATTGTTGGTTGTTTAATGTTACTGCTGATCTTGTATTGATTCAATGTGATCATTAACTGCTTGTGTCATTGTTAATTTTGTTTTCACCGTGTTAATTGGTCTAGAATTGATATTTCACTTCTATTTTTTTTTATTGCTCTGAGGCCTTGTGTAATATTCTATTGGTTTTGAAATATCTGTTTCGCTTTTCTGTTAAACTGAGACCTTCAAATCCTTTTTTTGTGTTGATTAAAAACATCAAATGGCAACTACAACGTTTGAATTTGGAGTTTTTAATGGAAATGGGATTTCCCCATTTGGCAGC